TCATCACAGTGGAGTCCAAAGCAGCAGTCGGTTGGACAGCCCTCTCAAGGGGGAGGGGTTCGGGGGCCAGCCGTCCCTAATAACCGAACATCACATCATTTGGGCGCATGTGTCACGTGCAGGACACGGGTCAGACGTAGGCATGCCCTGATTGGTCAGAATGCCAACCAATCCGAGTCAAGCACCTTGACTCGACGGTTCTCGCCCCCTCACGGACATTCTGGCACGACCTTGTGTCCAGCACCAGAAGCTGCGTTGGTTGGGACATGTGTTACGTATGCCGAACCATCGTTTGCCGAAGAGGGTACTGTTTTCCATGCCCAATTCGGAGTGGCGTAAACAGAGAGGTGTCCAACCCATGACCTGGCAGAGGAGTATGAAGGAGATCACGAAACGCTTGGGTGCTGTCGGTGCTACTCGCCTTCCAGGATGGGGACCGCGTGATCCTCACTGTGCCTGGTTGGAGACACTACAAGATATGGCTGCCAACCGATGTCAGTGGCGTTCTTGTTGTCAGTTTCTATCCAGATTGCCTGAGTGAATGTCTGGAGGTGTAGGCACCTCGGAATGATTGTGTTAAGCTAGCACTAAGTCCCTTCCCCGTCCACCTTTATTCTTTTCTTTACAATAAGGCTTTCAAATAGGTCATGGTTGTACGGCAGTGGAGCATGTTGATTGAAAACTGATGTCATGCTGTCGATGATGATGACTTGAGGCACATGACACTACCGGATATTTCCTACTAATGTTTTGCTTGTTTTTATTGCAGTGCACATCTTCGTTCCGGTGAGCTTGATCGTCTATCGTTCAGGTTATCGAGAAGTTCGACGACGCTGAATTCCTATGACATGCGCTTCAAAGCAATACAACACTTGTACTTCAGTTGTGGGAATAGCTGCCCTGCGACAAGCGATCTCAATAGGATGTGGGCGAAATCCCGAAACTTCCTCAGAAACAGGTTTTTCTTGGGATTCATTAGTTTGGTGTATAATGTCGAAAATGTGGCTCTTTTGATAGCATTGTTTGACAATCTTGATTATTGCACGTTAACTGCCAACAGCTGACATGAATATGGAAGCTTGCATTCTTGGCAACATCAACCTTCAGAAAAAGAGTGGCTCCTCTTTTACCCAGCGCGATGGCCGAATGGACCGATACTGAAGATGGAAACACACGTCATAGTTGTAACTGAATAGTTTAGGTAGACTGTGAGAATGTGTCTACAGTACTCTCTGTACTGCCATCCGTTGCATATCAAGGTCTACAAAATGAAAAAAAGCGTCACAACCAACCCATCCAAGTGACTGTGCGCCAGAGTCAAGATTCATTGGAAATAGTCTCCAACCCATCCGTTTGTTATGCGGACGCACCCCAGCCGAAAGAGATTCACTAAAAGCTAAAACGATGGATATGATGGGTTGGCAAACACGCAATTTATTACATTAATTAGCTGAAATACGATCATCGGCTAGGGAAAGGAATACTTGCAGCGTTGCAGGATGTAGAATTACCAACCTATCCAGAAGTAAACATACAGCAAGAGGGAAGAAAAAGCAAACACGCGACATAAGAGAGAAATTGGGAGTCGAAAGAAAAGTTGTCAGCCATGTGTGAAGACGGATGAATGAGCGCAAATATCAGGTCTCTGGAGCCCGTTGTAGTGATGGTAATGTGCCTGGACGTTCCCAAGTGACAAAAAAGAGTAACAATCGACTTTCGACCAGTGTGAATAGAATTCATCAGTTGGCGGACGACGTGTACCGTTAACCGCTTATTCTGGGGGGACGATGGACCTATAGTGTTGCGATTGGTTGCGTGTTCCAAATGGTTTCTGCTTCCGAATTACCCAGTACACAGGGTAGTGGTGCGTGTGAGTCAGTATGATGCGTCACAGGAGGCGATGACCGACTATCCTCCATAGATTCTACCATTTCAAGATGATTACCAAGAGTAGCTTTGAGATCACCCTCTTCTTCATCTTCCTCCTCTGCGTTTTCTAGCCATGTCAGCCATCGATTTACCTGAAGTGAAGGAAGACCAAGGATCATACTAGAGAAGGCAGTAGTAATGCAGAATCTAGTACAACCAAAGTTAACGAAGAGCTTTTGATTACCGGAGGGTCTCAGTCCGGATCAAGGTCCTCGATGAAATCGATCAGGTCGATGTGGAACAGTACACCACAGCATTTAATAACTTGCACCAGTGAAAGTGTGGCTTTAAATCGCCTGAAAGAACCATAGAGAGAGAACAGCAAGGACAATATGCCAACGGCTACCATCCTTGGATTTAATAGCACGCTACAATGAATCTACGTTAGACTTCCGAACCCGAGATGAGGCTAATTATACAGTATCTGTCACAACTGGGCGTCAAGACATCTGAGTGACCAGCGCTCTAATCGATTTGACAAGTCATGCGTTGTCTTCTGAAGAAGTTGATTGAGTCCTGATTTTAAACTACAAAGGCATGCAGCATACTACATTCGTAACCGTTATCACAGACGTGAACGAAGTCTACATGGAATTGGGAGAAATTGAAATTTACTCCTTTAGCTTATAAAGAAGTCTGATTTACACTTCGTTCGACCACACCAGATGTATTTTATTCTGGATTATCTTCAGGACGAATTCTTAAAAAGGAGGCCGATTTCTGACGGATACCCAGAGGAATTTACCAACGTCCATAGAACATCATGGCCTAAGCGTGAGGCTGACTACTAAGCAAAAAATGTTTTTTTTGTCAGACTGTAGAACACCTAACCACGGCCGTGCGACAAATTACGTGCTGTAATCGGCCATACGTACCCATCCGCTCAACTAATCCTGCTCCCATGAACGAAGCAAGTAAATCTCCTATGTATTTAATTTCTCTGCCTCACACGTTATGTACCAGTTCACACGCAGTTGCGGTCAAATATACATTAGCATAATGTATAGGAGTTTGTGGGAACGGATCTCAGAAAATTTGCCTTGTCATTTGAGTCAGGTGAGTAATCGACTGTCCGATGGCGTCCGACCGGAAAACCTGCCTCATCGATTACCAAACGGATTCTGTCCACTGGACACAAACCTTACACCAGTAGAGCGCTTAGAATTGCACTGAGCAATGTCAACTAGAGAATCGATGAGGCCATGTTGATCGAACATACGATAGTCACCCTAGAGCAAACCAAGACCCCTATTATACTTTTGACCCGTATTACAAATGGGACGTTGCAAACGACCACCTTCATGAACTATTGGCCCAGCCGATAGGAGCCCGCTAATGTCGACAGCAGCAATATAGGTTGTTTCCTGGCAGTTATGAACAGCACTGTTACCGTGAAGAGATCGAACTTCCTAAAACGCGCCACTTGTTCAGTCCTAAGTGGAGGAATTTCATGACGGGTATGGCCACAAAGGACTACACTATTACGACAAGGGTATAGAGAAATGATTCGAAGGCACTGCTAGGAGTAACCGACTTCCCGTTCAGACTAAAAATCGTGTAGATTATGCACTTCAAAAATAACAAGATATTTGTGAAGCTCACTTCAAAAAGTGCTTCGCCTTTGGCCGGATAATCAGGGTTCAGTTCTTCTTTCCACGTTAGAAACGTGTTCTCGTCCACTAAGTCGCAGTTGTACAGGTTGATGAAGCAACGCAGTAGAAATCCTGTTTGTTGCGAAAAAGATAAAAGTGTACAAAAACGTGAGGCGAACAGTTGCCATTTACACTGATACACAAATGAAGGAAGCCGAATAGAGGCGATTTTTAATGAGGCAAGTTAGAATCCAAGAATTTCTGATCGTACCCATGACCACATATTGGCAGAACAGCTGCCCAGAGTACGACCATACACGGACTGGCCAAACGCAACAGCAACAGTTAGCGAAATTGGTAACTATACTATCTAGTCAGACTGTATCAGATTCAACGACAGTCAGCAATATCTTGACACGAATTAGGCGCACGGTCTGTAAGGCCGTTATCAGAAATGTCAGATACGGTGAATTCTTAAATGTTTCTGATTCCCCTACATACCTTTTGGCTTGTTTTTACTCATCCAGAATATCTGGAGGGCATGTAGTGCATCAAGTTGTCGACTTGAAGATCCAATCAGTACCCCGGCCAACTCAGCGGGAACCAGTCGCGTCCATGCGGCTCGTTCACGAGACATTAATTCTGTTGGCGAAGACTGCGGCGAGAGCTCAAGGCCAGTTCGGTATATGTATTCATAAACAACAAGCATTACGGTGTGAATGAAGTCAGGGGACTGTTGATCCTCCGGGCGAACACATTTTTTTAGACATTCGGAGAGCGTCAGTGTCATATGTTCATCGTCAGTCTTGGTGGAAAGTGGTCCTGATGTCAACAACTTATTGAGCTCACGAGACAAACAAAGATTAGGTACGAGGAAGCTCAAACCACGTTCTTCCAAAGTTTCCAACAGCCGTTCATTCCACTGATTTCCATCTAAAATAGCCAGAAAACAAGAGCAATTAATTGGATCAATTTACCGTATGTGTGAATGAAGCCAAAGCCTGACGAAAACCAACCTGGTAACATTTGGCTCATGAGGATTCCACTGTCCCGAAACCAGCGAATCATCATCTGCCGCCGCTCTTCGACCGTGTGACAGGCTACAGATTGGGTGCCAAACGAATCGGGAGCTCCACTATGGTTAGCTTGTGAGGACCCATCGATCATACGTACGAGTTGCTGAAGGATCAGCAGAAACAGTGGATGGTGTTTCCCAGCACGAAGAGGTTCAGTCAAATCTGTCAGTTGCAATGCACCAATCCATAACAGCGAGGCGGCTATGGAAGCAAATTTTGACTTGGAAAAAATGACCGAAGTAGACTGAAGCAATCTGGACAGTAAATGCGCACACACAGAAGCAAGTGGCCGACTGGTTTCCTTCGTTGATTTGCTCGATTTCAAATCTTTCATATTGACAAGATTAGCGCAGTCCGTAAACAACTGTGCGGATTCCATGGGATCCAAGGTGGATAGGGGAAAAACAGCACCTAAGAAAAAGAGAGGATATGACGATAAACCTGGGCATCTGACCATGCTGCTGTCTGAACATAAGCTGGGTAGAATGGCACAAACTGGATATAAACAGATCCCGTGAGACACCAAAAGCCAACTACCATAAAAAAGGATCACAATGACAATTTGAACAATGAACTTCAACACCAGAAGAACGAGCATTTGAAAACACCAGGTATGGATGCAAATCCGTAAGTGCACAAGTTGACTACGAAATTGTTCACGCCTAATTTGCTTTAAGGCTGTTTGCTCACTCTACCTCTGACGTGCTTCTCCCATGGAGCAAGGTATTCTAAAGTATGCATGAATTACGATAGTACGCGATACCTTGTCACATTTCAGCGGCATTTCGATGCGCCGTTCAAACACAGTACTGAACAAACAAAAGCAGTTAGTCTTTTTTTCTAGACTCCTACGGATGGGGCTAGTGCAGAACGAAAAAGCGAAGGTCCACATGGCTAGAGTTTACTCGGAAGAATAGAGTCCACATGCAGACGGGAAGTGATTAGGAAAACAATCGACACCAGTAACCTGTATCGAGGTAGTAGGCGGAATGTCTCCAAATGATGGAAACCCCGCTCTATACGACTGTTATTCAAAATCTCGATATTGTCAGGACTACTGATATATCCAGTTGGCTGAAAAATTCCGCATTAGGTCAAGATACATATATACTAAGGTCTATAAACATGTGTGTGACCCTCAATTGGACGAAAACACCGGAAACAAGCATTTATAGCAATCCGTTTCAAATGCTGATCACTGAGGTTTTTGTGCAAAACATGGTCAAAACATGTTTTGCTATTTCGACCCGTTTCGGGGTAGTCAGTGAAATTTCACATGCGAAAATAACAACTGACGCACTGGGACACTTCACTCAGATTCCTAATCTACTGATAACATCAGCTTGATTGATGAAACATCTGTAATCATATTGTCTAGCTCAGCGAACAAACCACCGACCATAACCAGTATACATGGCGTGACAATAGTCCTATGTATCTGCCCGTTACATCGTTCAGCTGTAACACCCTTCCGGTGCCTAGCTGCCACGCTACCCGCAGGAAGCACGAGGGCTGTAATACTGCCAGGTTGCCCAAGCCTAGAAAGGGGAGGTCGAGAGGCAGAGGTCGGGCCCATACCTGTTAAATGCATATGAATGAATTCAGGGTAGGTCAAGACAACCAGTCGAAACGTTGAAGCAGTGGAATAGGTTCAAGGATAACGGTCAAACAATGCTGGGAGGATTTGAAGGGTAGTCAAGCAACAGGGTTTGAAAACTCGCATACTCAGGCCCAACTTAAAAGGACGTAATGAGACATTGACGATAGGTTGTTTAATCAGCATATGGTGAGGCCGATTCAAATCTTCCCACGCTGTCAGTCTGTTTACGTGACGAGGATTCGTATATAGTGTTTCCGTCCGTTCGATATTCGATGAATTCGGAAAATGGCTCAAGATCGATTTAAGAAAGTCCGCTTATCCTGTTCTATTACCTGTTTCCATAGTAACCGCCTCACTGCTTTGGGGAATGGTATGAGAAAAGTCGAACAAAATTCGATCTTTGTAGCTAAGCGCGCACTTGTCGACCCGAATCGCAAACAGTGCAGGTTTCCATCAATTCATAAGTTTGGGACATGTCAGCGGACGTAATACCAGCTATCAGCAGTCTATGGAACCACAAATTTGAGCCATCAACGACAAACCGTAAATAAGCGACATGCTAGTCCTAGCTGCCACATAATTTCCATGGTGTTTTATTCACTCCTCTCACACTCATCTGGTTTTTTAAGATAGTGATTATGCAATACGAAACTGAGGAGTCCGGCACTCACCCGACACGCTCTACCAGAGTAACACAGCTACCAGTCTTGCCCAAAATTACTGCAGACGGATATTTAGGAGTGAGGACACGTCAAAAAAAAATCGTCCAGCTGTAGCACGCTTTCAGGGCCTAGCTGCCATGACACACGAACTAGGCACGAGGGCTGGGATACTGCCAGGCCACAAGCCTAGACAGGGGAAGTCGAGAGGACATCTCAGTTATCAATTAAAGCAGAGACGAAGTGGTTTGGAGGTTATATGTGATATAAATCATGACGTTCCTCCACTCTTTATGAAACAAGCCAGGAAAACATTACAAGTTACTATAGAAAGTTTCGGCGCTTGGACCATCATCATCATTGTCAGCTGTAAGAACCGCGTACTCGTCGTACACTGGTTGTAGCTGCCACAGTTTCGTTCACCGATGATTTGGGAGGAGGGGTAGGAAGCTGCGCATTGCAGGCGCGAGCTGGTAAATTGGTGCATAAATCCAGCACT